TGCACCTGTGTTCAAGGTCATGGAGCATCAAATGGAAAACATTAATTCTTTAAATTAAAACAAATGAAATTATGTCCATTAATCTCTTGCTCCAGTGCTTTATCTGAACTTAAAAAAGAAGATTATGCCAACTATGAAAAGGAAGGCTTAATACTTCAAGGGAAAGTCATGTAATGGTTTCCTTCTAAGCTAATGAAGCTTTAAATTGGGAGACTTATTGTGGTTTTGAGTGAAATTTTTTATTTGTAACCTCCCAAATTATGAGTTTTTGTTTATTCAAGAGTAGTTATCAACAGGCTACGTGAGATTCAATTTTAAAGGAAAAATAAGTTTTGGAAAATGACTAGTTGGACTCGACTTTCAAAACTTCTAGAAAGGGATAAAGTTTCCACAAGGCTTACGCTTTATAAAAACATAATAAAACATCACCTCAAATTCTAGTCCAGAAAGCACATTCGACAACAAAAATCTCTATAATTGCTCCAAAATCAATTTTCAACACCGACAATAAGATTTGAAACTCAAAAAATGGAGTAGAACCTTTAGATATGTGAATCTTTTTTTAGGACGAATTAGACGGTCTAGATAATTTGTTATAATATACACTGTATTTAGAGCTTGAAATTCTAATTTCTTTTCACAACCACAATGTTCAAGCCGAGTTGATCGATGTAAATGTTTTTCAAAGATTGAATTGTAATTTTTGATGAGTTATGAAATGAGGCTTTACTTATTTTGATAGGATTGCAGCACTATCAAACCGTTTTCCATTAGAAAGATTCATCCAAAATTGCAATAAAAGATGGGGAGCCTACTATACTAGGGTTTTCAATATGGTTGTTTGATTTGCGGGAAATTTCCATCAGGGAAATAGATTTCCTTGCAGGCCACCACGTTCTTATGTTTCGTTGATGTGAAAGCAGACGGCTGATGGGAAAGTGCTTTCCCAAATAGGTCCCACCGCTTTCTAATATTTGGTTGATGGGAAAGCCCACCGCTTATCGGAAAGAGCTTTTCTCAAATAGCATCCCACTAATCTAAAGACGTGGGAAAGAAGTGTATCGTCATGGGCCTGGACCCAAGTTCCCAGTCCCACTTGGGTGAGTCTAAGCTAGACCGAGCCAAACCCAAAAAAAAAGACATATGAGACAAGGGGGGCTCCTACTGATTCTTGCTCGAAACCACAAGGCTCCCAATGTGATCTAATTCAGACACACGACTCTGAGTCAAACCACATGGCTCCCAATTTGAGCTAATTCAGACGGGCGATTCTGATTCGAATCACTAATTGTTTAACCTAGAGTATGAAAAATTGGGTGGTTCAAATCGGAATCGCCCAGTTCCAGTTTCAACCGGTTTTAGTGAATACGTCTGGTACTTAAAAAAAATCAAAAAAATTATATAGAATTTCAAAGTATATAATTTAAAAAATAAGAGGATTTTGTTTGTAATGTATTTTTAAAAATATTTTTCATCATTTTTGGAAAATATTAGAAATTTTTTAACCATTACTACTTATTTTTATATTTTTCCATCTTTTTAAAAAAATTCAAAAATACCCCTGGATACAAATCAATTCTTTAAAATTCATTTTATCATTAATTTTCAATTTCATTTGGATGTGCTTTGTTTAATCATGTTTTAAATTTTTTTTTTTATTTTATTAAATTTTTATATTTTTATTTTTAACACTTTTTGAGCACCTGAGACTCGCTCGATTAGGCCGCTGAAACCGGCTGGATTACCGATTAAGCCGATTGAATCACTTCCAACACCATATCAAGTTAACCGTTTCCGTTCGATTTTTCCTAGAATTAAGATAATTGCATGGGGACCTCTCTTCTCTCAAATCATTCCAAAATCTTCTAGAGCAAAAGTAGATATTGTAAAATACATTATCTTCTGTTGTTTAATAATATTTTTGAATTATTAGTAGTACTATATATGAAAGTGGTATTCTTCTTTCCTAGAAGTAGCAAAAATGAATTAAGTAAACGGCCTATTTGCACGTGCTACTGATGAAAGTCTTGTTATGCAGTTGTTTCTCTTTGTATACGGCTTTATTAATACCCAAAGTTGACCAACTCTTGCCTCTTTCGTACTTTAGTGATTCAATTTTTTATGAATTTTCCACATTTTTTTACATTTTTGTAATAAATACATGCACGTGCCATTAGTTAATAATTTTATACTATATTTTGCGTGCTTTCTACGTTCAAATAATGGCTTTAATACCCTCAAACAAATCTAATGAATTGCTCTTACATCTTTTGTTTTTAGTTTTTTCCTTCTTTTTTTTTTTTCTTTTGAGTGTTGTAGAACTTTTGTTTATGTTCATCACTAAAGAAGAAAATGATACTTGAGGTCCATTTTCAAACTTTTAAAATGGGAAAACTAACTACATTTGTTTCCAAAACTAGCCATGATAATTCTAAAGAAATAAGGAGAAACATGTTTGTCTTTACATGGTGCAAATCGGGTTGGGTCGACCCGACCAGAGTTTAGTTTGGACTCGTCAAGTGAACTAAGTGGGTGGGGTATGCACACCCTTGAGTAAAGACTTGATGAGGTCCAGATCTAGATGTATTCTAGTATGGACCTAATGAAAATAAGCTATCCACAGCTTGACACCAATAATGAATGGTAATATAGATGGAACTCCAGCTGTCAGATCTTTATTGGTTGGTTCAAAATATATATCAGTATCTAAATTTTAATATTTTTTAGAAATCAAATCGTGATGAAATTTTGGACATATGTACTAAAGTAGGCATAAGAGAAAAATATAAAACAAATATTTTTTAAAATATAAAATGACCAAGATAACCCTTAAAATGATTGCGTTGATTTCTTTATTTTAAATTTTTGAAAGTATTTTTAATAATTTTTTTAGATGGTATATTATAGTGTCAAGTATATATACTCAAAATTTCACCTCGATATGATTTATAAGAAAAAGATTAAATAATTTAGATAGTAACATGTATTTTGAACCACCCGATGAAGATTTGATGGCTAGGATTCGATCTATATTGCTATTCATTAAAGGTGTCACCTTTTGGTAGCTTTATACAGACATAATATATATAAAGAGGTTGTCATCTAAAATAAATAGTAATTTAGGTTATCGTCCAACAATCAAATCTCAATTAGATGGTTAAAAATGCATGTTATTATCTAAATTTTATTATTTCTCTATAAATCATATCAAGATGAGATTTTGGGTGTATATATACTACATGATAGGACACAACACCACCGAACTATGTTGAAAGACATAATTTCATGCTAGAAACTCCTGGGATGACCTAAAGATCTATTTTCACTCCTAAAATGATGCTTAAAACTCAAAAAATGGCATAGATCCGAGTAGATCGATAAACAATTGAAACTATAGAAAATGAATGGCCTTTTTTTTTTTAAGTTAATTCAGTGGGGAAGACAGTGCCCTTACCCATTTTTACAAATAATTTAAGAGTTAGTTGTTTGAAGGTGTTAGTGGGATGGTGTCAGTGTGAGTGGAAACCACAACGTGGGGACTATAGTGTGGGGGTGCTACCACCACAATCCCAACCCTTTGCCCAAATGGATAGTCTAGATGATACATTATGAGATACACCATTTTCAAACTGTGAAATCCTTTTTGGTCCTCATATCTACGCATCTCGAAGTCGAGATGATCAATTGGAGGGTTTTGCAGCATCAGAATAACTTTTTCCAATTGACGTTTGAGGTGTGTCTTACTTCTGTAGTATAAGGTTGACATTTTATATAAATTTCTTCCCCAAAGAAGAGTATAATGAAAAAGATGGAATAAAAGCAATTAAAATTATCGAAAAAAAATTACATAACCTTTAAATTTAGAATTAAGTTGCACCTTTAAAATCTATTAAAAAGTTATTTTGATGATGTAAAAACATCTAATTGATCATCTCGATATTGAGATGTATGGATATGGAGGAAAAAAAACATCTAATTGATCATCTCGATATTGAGATGTATGGATATAGAGGAAAAAAAACATCTAATTGATCATCTCGATATTGAGATGTATGGATTTGGAGGAAAAAAGAGATTTCAAGTCTTAAAAACAATACATCTTACAACACATTGTCTGGACCTTCAATTTTCAAGATTTTTATGCATTTATAGATTTACTTCATTTTGAACTATTTTTTAAATTTAAAATTTTGTAATTAGAAATAAAAATAGTTATTGTACCATCCCAAGAATTTTTGACACCAAAATTGTATCTCATGACAAAGTTTGGAGGTGCATCTTACTTTTAATTGTTTAAAGTTGTAACTTATGCAAACCACACCACCAAATAATAATAAAAGTAAACTAAGTTAAATAAAAAAACAAAAAAAAAAGGGGTGTAGCATGTATAGAGCCGAGGCTCTAAACAGCAAAGTAAAGCACACCTTCAAATAGTGTCGAGAAATGTAATTTCAATACTAAAAATCTTTGAGATAGCCTTAAAATATATTTTTATTTTTAATTATAAAATTTAAAGTTTCAAAAATACTGTAGATCGAACAGATCTATGAAAACCTGGAAATCTTGAAAATTGACAGTCAAAAAAATACGTTATCATTATTTTCAAAACTTGAAATCTAACATTTTGAAGTCGAGATGATCAATTTGAGGATATTGAGACATGGAGGTGCACTCTAAATTGATTGTTTAGAGCCTCGAACTTATGTAAACTTTTTTCAAAAAAAAAATGTACTTGAGATTTTTCCATAAAATGGGGAAATCCATAAAAGGTTGGCACTTTTTCACATTGTCACCCCAATTCAGCTTTGGAAAAATTCAAAGCTCAGTTTATTTGGACTAATCTTGGCTACTATTGTTTTTCAACCAAAAATTGAGGGTACTTTCGTCAAACAAGTGTGTCTCTCTCTCTCAAAATAGGAAAAGAACTTTATAGATTACGAAAAGACAAGGAAGCAAGGATCAGGAGTTAGTTGCAGAGACGACACCGAGAGCGATGCTTCCTCTCCTCATTCTTTGCACCTTCCTCTCTCTCTCCTTTATGCTTCCATGTCTCTTTCTCTCTCTAAATCCTTTCTCTCTCTACATTCCATGGAAGATAAAGGAGCCACCAAGTCCAACCCTTTTAATACCCCCCACACTCCTCCCGTTTACTCATCAAATCCTCCACGTTTTTTATCTCTCTCTCTCTCTCTCTCTCTCTACTTCTCCAGCTCTCAGCTGATTTCCCTTTTCTCTCTCTTTCTCACTCTACTTCCTCTTCTCGGTGTTATTGGGCTTATTTTGAGCTGTAAGCTCTTCTTCCTTCTCTTTCTCACTCTTCTTTCTTCCTCTTCCGTGTTTTCTCTGTTTTTTTTGGGCCTAATTTGAGCTCTAGACTGTTATTTCTCCAATTTTGAGCTTGAATTTTTGCAGAAGCTTCAAAAGCGTCGCTGTTTCTGCTTATTTTTAGCTGTGAAGCTTTTGAAGAAACCATTAATGGAAGCTTTTCAGTCATCTTCTGTGCTGGACCTTATCAGAGAGCACCTCCTTGGCGATTTCGCAATTGATGAGCTCTTTGAAGCTTTGGATTCCAACAAAACCAATTTATCACTGGAAATTGGCTCTGAATCTACAGTTCATGAGGAGAAAACCTCTGGTCTTGAAGATATGACCTCTAAATCACGGATAAATAAGGAGAAAACGAGTAATTTAACGCCATTAATAACAGAGTCTCGAGAAACTGGACTTCCTCCTCCCCATAACTCCTCGCCTTCCATTTCTCGAAGGCCATCGCTGACCCTGGCCCTGCCCCCTGCGCAGCCTCTCGACCTAACACCTACGGGACGCAATACCAGGCCGGATAAGTTTTCCGGCGAAAAATCGGCCGGAATAACTGGTTCTTCCTCCGATTCGAAAAAGCACTACAGAGGCGTGCGCCAAAGGCCATGGGGAAAGTTTGCAGCTGAGATCCGAGATCCAAACAAGCAAGGAGCTAGGGTTTGGCTTGGAACCTTTGACACGGCCATTGAAGCAGCTCGAGCTTATGACCAGGCAGCTTTCAGGCTCAGAGGGAGCCGCGCCATCCTCAACTTCCCCCTCGAAGCTGGACGGAACCCCAACGGAAACCCTAAGGGAGTTGCAGAGGAAGCCGCAATCACCAGCCAAAACCCTAACGGAGCTTCAAAGGGAGCACAAATAGTTGCGGGCGAAGCCTCTGTCGCCGGACGGAACCCTAACGGAGAGGAACGGAAGAGGATGAGGGAGGAAACCGTACACAACACGTGCTTGAAGGTGCCCAAGATGGAGAGCGACGAAAGCATACACAACATGTGTATGAAGAGGTCGCCGGAAAATTGGCTGGAGACACGGCCGGAAAGTGGTTTCACGGCGCCTCCTCTCACTCCGTCGAATTGGTGGGACTGCGGTGAATTAAAGGGCATTTTTGAGGTCCCCCCACTCTCTCCTCACTCTCCTTTTGGCTACTCTCAGGTTCTCGTCAGTTAAACTTTCCAGCCACTTTCCCGGCCAGTCTGAACTTTCCGGTGAACTTCACGGCGGTTTAGGGTTTCCCGTCAATGGGAGATTAACACATTAGAACTGTTTTTTTATTTTTTATTTTTTACTTGTATATATACGCGTGGATGCCAACGGGTACCGGAGTGTTGTACATATACAGGATTTATTTTGTTCTTTGAAATATCGAAAATACTTTATTTGTTTCTGTATTAAATTTAGGGTCTTTGAACCAGGCTGAGGGCCTAACCAATCAAATAAGCCGTATTTTGTCGAACATCTTGTTCAAAATTTATTTTCATCTTTAATTACAAAATTTAATGATTAAAAAATAGTATAGATCAAGTAGATCTACGAACACTTAGAAAATTAACGGTCTTAATAATTCATTACTAGATGCATTATTTCCAATGCTAGAAATCTATTTTTTCTCGTGTCTTTACATCTTGAGGTTGAAATGATCGAATTAAGGGTTTTCAGCATCAAACAACTTATTCTAGTGAATTTTTGAAGTGTATCTCGATCTAATTGTTTAGGGCCTCACCTTTTTATAAATGTTTTTCTTAAATTTAATCGAAATTTAAAGGTGTGCATTACTTCTGCAGAATAAAAAAGGCATCTTATATAAATCCCACCCTTTAGATAATGTACACAGTTTATATGAGTCCCCAAACTCATATGTTGAAATGCACCCCGTCTTAATAATCTATTTTTTAAATGGATTTTGGTACTAATTTTATAATATGTTGATCAACTTGCCATTAGTACATATAACATATTTATATTTTTTATTCTATATAAGTTAAATTTATACGTACTAACCTTATAGTATATTATTATTCAATAATGACAATTATGTTAAATTAATAAATTTCAATTCAAGTAGCTATCCCATAAGCTCGTCACTATGTTCTTGAAGTTCTTATCAAGTGTATTATTTAAAGATAAAAGTGTACATAAGGTTGCAACTTTAAAATGTAGAATTACAAATGTATCTCAAAAATCTTTCGGAAAAGGTGGTTTTAATGTTGAAAGACCCTCTAATTGATCATTTTAACATATCGAGACGTATGAATATATATATAAAAAGATTTTGAGTCCCAAAAATAATGCATCTTGCAATGTATTATCTAAACCTTCTATTTTCAAGATTTTCATATGTTTATAGATCTACTTGACTTTAACCATTTTTGAAGTTTAAATTTTATAATTAGATATGAAAATAGATTTTTAAATAAACTTACAAAAAATTTACACCAAAATTACATGTTATAATAAAATTTGGAGGTGCGTCTTAATTGGATCGTGGCAACCTTATAAACCGCACCCTCATTTGAAACCATTTGTTATAGGATTGACGACAATGGAGGGTGATGTACAAGTAATACATATAAATGTACATATATTATGCTCCCTCATGAGCATATTACACATTTACTCCCTTAGACAAAACACTTACTTGGTATATTCGTTTTTATTTAGAATTTTAGGATCCATCTGATTTTAACTAGAAGATTATATTAAAATATAAAAATTTGTAAGTTTGAGTTTTTGAACATTTAGATCATTCCCACAAAAAATTAGATCATTCTGGTGCAATCTTGGGATGCCATTCTTTCGAAGTAGAATGGGCGAGTAGCAAAGTTTAATTATATTAATACGTCAAATTTAAGTCAAGTCCTTGAATGACTTCACGGTTAGTCTCATGCTTTTGGCCAAGAAGGGTGCAACTTATTTGTTGTTTTAATTTTCTGATATATATGTATTCGAATTTGTGAATCAATAAATTCAAATACTCTCGTCACGAAAAAAAACGACTGGGCGTTTAAAGTTTTTTCCTTTGAGATTGGTTGTCGGGTTCTAGAGATCGCATCCCAAAAATTTGGGATGTAAAAGATATTCCTAATGTAAGTTTTGCCTGAGGGAGTAGATAAATAGCATACTACCCCCGGAGTAAGAAATCTTTTGTTAGAGAGATACAAAAGGCATGAATAATCTTTCCATATACTTGATTTGGCCATAGATAAGTAATCATTATTGATGACTTAGAGAGAGACAGCCATTTCTTATGTTGGTAGAGAGAGAAAGAGAGCATAGAAACCTTTCTTACACATTTTTAGAGAGAGAGAGAGAGAGCATAGGAACCTTTTCTCATAACTTATGAAGAGAGAGAGAGAAGGAAACTGCTAATGCATGGACTGATTTGGTCGTGGCCAATTGTTTATTAACATTATTTTGACCTATGTTTAGCAGCACGTGTGCTTTTTAACTTTCAATGTTCAAATGAAGTTTTGATTTTTGGGTCAATTGTCAAAACCAACGAGACTCACATCTTCAAATAGCAACAAAAGCCAACTTGGCCTCCTCATTTATTAGCAACTAATTTTAGACCAGGTCCATTTTCAAAATTAAATGCGATTCTTAACGAAAATGGCATATGGGTTCCTACTGTTCTTCTCTCTTTATTATCCTCCAATTTGCTAGATTCGTTTCAGAATCGTTGGGTAAAATGAAGCAATTCGGTATTTCGATTGATTTAGAGGAAGATTTTGAGATTTTTTTTAAAAAAATATATATAATATCAATAAAATATATATTTATATATAAAAATAATAATGATTTTATGAGACTTTCCTACACCTGCGTGTGTAGGACCCCAAAAGATTACTATTAAATTTGATACAGATCTCTAAAAAAATTATCATATAGGTGTGGGACTGATTTTTATAGAGATCTGTGTCAAATTTAATGGTGATCCTTTTGGGTCCTACACACATGGGTGTAGGAAGGTCTCATAGGATCATTACTCATATAAAAATATAATAAAATAATAAAAATTTTAGAAATAAAAATCCAAATAGTAATAATAATAAATACAATTTTGTGATTCAACCAAAAGATTCTGAATCAGACTGAAGCACATGATTGTACTTTAAAATGATATTTTTGTGTTTTGGTTGAAGAGGTCGAAGCTTCAGTCGAAAAAGCCGAATCAGGTCGTAGCAGCCCGAAGCCAAAGATTACTTATCATCAATAATGATTTCAGCCTATTTCAGCCAAAGATCAGAATATTTCAGCCTCTTCAGCTAAGGCAAAGTGAATTTGATAACATTGTTTGAAACATGCTTGGCAACTTGCATAGCCACCTCATGGGGATTCCTATAGGGTTGTAAACAGGTCCAGATGGGTTGATGCTTACCTTTATTAGATCCGGCCCTGTGTGGGTCTAGGTCCAGTGGATTTGGAGTCTAGGCCTAGATCCAGTGGATTTGGATGGCTTGCTTGAGACTGAACATATCTTGATCTAGATTGGCTACCCCCACCACCAGACACTAGTGCTGCCCTGCCTGCCCTGCCCTGCCCTTCCCTTTACAGGCACAAATGCTAGTAGATATATAAAGTTTTGGTCTCTCCAAAAAGGGTAAATTTAACAATTTAAAATTTTCATTCAAAAAATTATTAGTGTCCAAAAGGGGTAAATTTAACAATTTAAAATTTTCATTCAAAAAATTATTAGTATTTTAGCTTTTAACATTTATTTATTTGTACATTTTCACAATCTTAGAGATTATATATTCCTAAAATGTGAAATTCAAAATGTATCTTAAAAAAAGGAATCATGAAAAGGGCACAACTATTTGGAATACGAGCCGACAAGCCGACATCATAATATAAATCACATGGCCAATAAGGAAGGAGAAAAATAAACGGCCTACATTTGTGCATTAATGAATAAAAAAAAAAAGTAGGGATCCCTTGCGCCCCAAACGTTGCGCACATGTAATTTTCACATATTATATAGGAAATGCATAAGGAAGACGTGCTCTACCCCTTTTTAAAAAAAATAGTGGAGCACTTTGCTTTTTTCTTCTTTTTTTTTCTTTTTTTTTTGTTTTTTTTTTTTTTTTGAAGATGTCAGTAATGTGGCGATACACAACTTTTTTTTAAAGGTGTTAGTAATGTGGTGTCAGTGGAAGTGGATGCCGCAACATAATGTTTTGGGTGTAGAGGTGCTACCACCATGATCCTAACCCCCTCACAATGAAATTATTTATTTTTGTTACAAGAAAGTCATAATCATTGACCATTAGATTTCAAAACCCTCAACTTTCATAAACCCTTAATTTTTTTCTATTTAGAAAAAACCCTCAATTTTGATAAACTTCTCCCAAACCATTTTTTTTCAATTTTAAGCGTTTTTTTTACCAAAATAACATTCACGGTAGTCATGTTACCGTGAAGCACAATTACAATACTTTAAGTAACGTAAAAACCAAACCATGTTATACAGTATTTTAAATACTGTAAAAACTAAATCATGTTATACGGCACTTGAAATGCCGTAATTTCTCATTATATTTATCTCTTTCATCTTATTATTTTTATGTTTATCTCTTCTTTCTCTCTCCAATTCTTTTTAATATCGATCTATTCTTTCTCTCTCTAACTCTCTTTCTCTCTCTACTTATTTCATCAACTCAACAAATGCCATTCTAACACGATACAAAATCTAACTCTGTCTAATTTTCTTAGGGGATGGGATTGAAGGGAGTTTTTATAGGGAGGGTAAGGTATACACATGTTGTTATACAAATCTCCTTGGAGAGAGAAAGAAGAGATAAACATAAAACGAATGAGAGATGAAAAAGGTAAATATAAACAAAAGGAGAAAAAGGCTTACGGCATTTCGAGTCCCATATAACATGGGTTAGTTTTTATGGTACTTAAAATGCCGTATAACATGAGCTAGTTTTTACGGTACTTAAAATGCCGTATAACATGAGTTAATTTTTACAGTACTTAAAATGTTTACGGTAGTTAAAATGGCATATAGCATGGGTTAATTTTTACAGTACTTAAAAGTATCATAATTGTGTTTCACGGTAATACGACTACCGTCCAGGTTATTGTAGTTAAAAAATGCCCAAAATTGAAAAAAATGGTGTGTGTGAGGTTTATGAAAGTTGGAGGTTTTTTTTTTTTTTTCTAAATAGACGAAAATTAAGGTATATTTGTGATAATTTCCTTAGTTAAAGACGTGTTACTATTTAAGCACAAAGTCCAAAGCAAATTTTTTCTGGCACACTTTCATCATTTGATTGCACATTCAATGGCTAAAAGTGATTGTGAAATCCTAGTACTAAAAATAAAAGGTTTTGTTAAGCTACTCCTGCAGATAGAGTATATACGTAATGTACTCAACATTTTTAGACACTTGATATTCTTATCCTTTTCAAGTAATTAGTCAAGAGTAAAGTAAAAGTTCTTAACAAAAACAAAAATACTTATTAACTATAGTGAACAATAACGTCACCAACACAACATGTGATATCAGTCATATAAAATATTAATTGATTTTTTAACTACTATTAGGATGCCACTAGTTTTTTATAGAAATATCAATTTCACTTCTCTTAATGATAAAAAATGCCCTTGTTTAAAAATTCTTGTATTACAAATCAAAAGTATCTAAGTGTCCAAAAATATTAAGTATATACTCCATATGTAGGAGTAGCCTAACAAAACCTACAAAATAAATCGTCTCATAGTGTACAATCCCTTATATATGAAGCCAAACCCCACCCACTAGGTCAACCAAGTTAGCACCCTAAGTTTCTATGTATTAAAGGCCTAATTGGATAAATCTAAAATATCTTATAAACACCATGTGAGTTTTAGGGCTCTTTCTGCCATATCGAAACACTGAGTCAGCTTTTGAAGAGGTGATTTGGTCAGTTTAGAAAAAGTGAGTTTTAGGGCTCTTTCTGCCATATCGAAACACTGAGTCAGGGCTTTTGAAGAGGTGATTTCGTCAGTTTAGAAAATATTTTTTCAAAACGCTAAAGGAATCCCTTTATGTTTAAAAGTTGTGACGATGAATCATCCACTTATTGATTCTACTCTAGGTGGGTGATAACCCTACAAATTGCACATGTGCTTGCGCGCACACACACAAAAGCAAAAGGATATATATATATATATATATTTATATATAAAAGAGTTTTGTATTTATGATCCTTTCTGTCTATAACAATGAATAAAACCATTACAGGCAATTTGAAGTGGGTGATAACCCTACAAATTGCACATGTGCATGCGCACACACACACAAAAACAAAAAGATATATATATATATATATATAAATAAAGGGTTTTTGTGTTTATGATCCTTTTTGTCTATAACAATGAATAAAACCATTACAGGCACTTTGAAGCAGGGGAAGGTATAATATTTTATGTATAAGGTAGAATTATTGGTTAAATATGGAGAATTTCCGATCTGGATCAGTGATTCTAAAATTTTTAACTACGATCAGATAACATATTGATGTGAAGCGGTTGTTATTCGGACAAAGGGCAAAATAGTCATTTTGGAGATTTTGAAGTATATATGTGTCATTTCGAGATTTAAAGTGGAGATATTGGTCTGCCCTCTTTTATATGAGGAATTCGAACAGTGTACAATACTGTATTTAAAAAGCGTATAAATACCAACGGCTCGTTTCTTGTTCCCGCCTTCCTTGCTGCAATCGAAAAATCACAAAATCCAACCCCTCTCTCTCTCCCTTACTGAGTTATTATATATATATAGATTAGAGCAAACCCAATTCTTTCCCTGCCTTCTTACTCCATATGCCGGGACAATACAAAACCCAACCTTTCTTTCTCTCTCTCTCTCTCTGTATGCCTGATGTTTTCCAAGCTTTCTGGTTGCGGAGCTGCATTCATCCGAATCGTGATGCTTGTGAAGCTCTTCATGAAGCCTAAGCGGCTACCATCCACCCTTGACAAGCTCACCCAGGTATAGTTCTTCTATGTTTCTGTGTTTCTATTTGATTTGTTACTGTGTTTGTGAGTAAACCCATTTTGTATATTTATGTAATTCGTTCTCTGAAAAGGCTTTGATGGTTCATATAGGATTTTATCATTCATCTTATTTCTTTCTTTTTTCTGGTTTTCTAGTTTTATTTTTGTGATCTTTGCCACATTTGAAGAGTACCCATCTTCTAAAAGCGATGTGCAAAACTTTGGCTCGGGGTCAGGACTTAGACCCCGACTGAGCTGAGTAACTCAAGTGCTTGAGTCATGTATGAGGCCCCCGATACAAGAAACTCGAGCTGGTCCACTTGGACTCGCTTGAGTCATGCACAAAACCTAAAAGGGCTCACAAGTGCAAAAGAAGTACAAAAACTTTGTCAAAAATAAATAAAAAATCACTAAAAAATGATTGATTGTACGTGCGCACCATTTATTGTATGTATGATGGAAAATGTATATAGAAAATGGAATATGGAAAAAATTGATTTTTAGCATGAATGAATTCATAAGAATCCAAAAAAGAGTAGAGAAAGAAAAATTCATGAATTATCACAAAAAAATCAATCAAATTAAATGCGACATTTGAAATTTAAAGCTAACATCAAAAAGCACAAATGCAGGGTGCGAAGGGCGTGTTCTTGGCCGACACCGACTTGACTTGACCAAGTTCTAAAACAATCTCTGAAATTGACACTTGAATTTTAATCAGGCACAGTTACATTTCTGTTATTTTCAGCTGTGGTGACTGAAAATGTGATTTTTGGGTAAAGGAAAAGTATACTAATAGACCATTTACTTTTAGTACAAGGAGATCATAATCACTCTAATCAGTTGCTTTTCAAATTGGGTGGTTGTGAATGTAGACTAGGTTCAATTTTTTTAAAAAAAAATCTCTTCAATTTCGTGATACAACTCAAGCTGTTTAATTTGAAATCAGATGGCTAGAGGTAGTTGTAACCTTGTAAAAAGGTAAACGATCTCATAGTATACATTGCCAAGGTTTAATTGACAATTTTTGTAGAATGAAATTGAGAACTAGTTAGAATGATATGCATTTGCCCTTGATCTCTTATAGAATTGAGTTTGATAAGTATGATGCTCATTGTATATTTACAAGGTCAAAATTGTGCTTTATGTGTAAATACAATGAGACTATTACCTTTGCACACAAATGTCACAAACAACCCAAGCCATAAAATGTAAAATCAAATGGCTTGGGTGGGTTTTTCTATGCACAAAATCAAAGGAAAGCTTTCTCATAACAATGAATGAAATGCTTTTTAGGTATAAAAATAAAAAACCAAAGAATATATGCTCTCTTGAGAGCATAATGTATAGTCACTCCATTGGGTACTTAGGTAGGAGTATTTTTAGGTTAGGCTTTTGGTGCATCCAGGAATGCCACTATTATTGTGTGTCCACCCTTGTGAAATCCATCTTGGAGATAGAATTTGGATCCAAATTTTTGCAAGTTTATCATCTCGAACACCACGGTCATGAATCTAAAAAAAATTGAATATGAGCCTAAAAATGGTCTATGTTGTAATTTTTCTTGGACTCTCCAAATTCACAAATCTGAGTTGGAGATAGAGTTACAGTGATTTGAGATGTGCTATGACTCGTAAATCCCTTAAAAGTCAAGGCAAATACATGAGTCAGCCAACTCACCAAATACTTTTCCATATGGTTAGGAGACCCAAAATTTTGGAATAACCTAAAGTTCTCAAGGACCAGGATAAAAATAGTACTTTAAAACAAAAGGTAACAGGATTAACAGAGACAGTCCAATTTTTTGATGGTTAGATTAGTGTTTAGCAACTGAGAATCCTTTTTTTATTTAAAATACTCATGTCATGATTGGATAGTGGATCCTCCAGAAAATCTTCCAAAATAGGTCTTTTGCCCAAGGGAGCATGGTAGCACGGTATATGCACTCAAAATAAAATAAATTAACAATTACATAGATTTCTATCCTACTCTCCTAGTTTCCTTAAATTTTGTTATTGCTCTTTTTCATATGGGTGGTTATCTCAAAGATCTTTTATGGTATGTAACTTTTAATCATGCAAATATAATGTAGACAATCAGAGTCTTGGAGGAAAAGGAGTGTGCCTTACAAAACAAGATTGCTGCAGAGGTTGAGAGGGCAAAGGAGTTCATTAGAACAAAGAACAAAAGAGGTGTGTTGGCTTATAATCTCTAAATACTTATATCCTTTTATCTTGATGCATTCTGAACTCAAAAAATAGAAAATTTGTCATAAAGGTCACTGAAATGTTAGCTTATGTGCCTTTTTAAATTTGTTTAAGCTATGTCAAGTGGCAATGCTCCTTGCAACCCTCTCTCTCTGCCCCCTCTTTTGTTTTGCTTTTTTACTTGGCTCTCTCCCTTTCCATATTTTAACTGGGTTCCTTTCTATCTTTGGAGTTCAGCCCTTGAATATCGCTCTAGTATTTTGGTCAGCTTTATTGGTTAGTTGTTGACAATTACAACCATTATGTTCAATTCCCACCCAAAAACAGGGGAAACAAAGGAAGAAGGAGAAGATTTCTGTCAACTTTGGTTTGGTAAACAATTTAGAGATGAATCAACTAAAAGAATGCAGCAATGAAGCAGCAAAGTGAAGCACTTAGTTATTCACACAAATACTAAATTTTTTAATAATTTCTTCTGAGAAACAAATTTACCTTTATAGTATAATAGAACTATACAAGCTTAAATGGAAAAGAAAACAAGTTATGAAGAACCACTTGAGACATTAATGGTAATGCAGCTATCTATTACAGACAGCCATGGAAAACAATTTCCTGTCCTCAACATTTTCAAAAAGAAGTTAACTCAAAGGATGCCATTTTTCAAATAATATCTAAGTGGACAAGGAAGCAGAATTCAATCTGAGACATAACAATCATCATACCATAGTTTATTTTAATGTTCTGCATACCAGATGTAAAACTTCAAGGGAAAGTATACAGCATCGAATGCGCTATGGTATCAGGCAGCAATTTCCATGATATATCCAAAGATTATATGAAATGAGATTTATTTATCAAGAAAAATGGGGATTAGCATCACATTGTCATAATCTTACTCCCCTTTAAAATAAACGGGCATGTGAATTTGGAAACCAACACTGTTTTCCACTAACTCTTTAAATGGGTTTGTGCACTTTTAGCTACAATTCAATGTTTGAAGAGGAAAAGGCTCTTCGAGGAGCAAGTTGAGCAACTTAGGGACTTTCAATATCGGATCCATATTCAGGTGCAGTTTCGATTCACGCTTCATCTATCCTTTTTTTCTTTGGGTAGAGGTTCAATTCAGAATTTGGAGTTAGTGAGGATTGTAGTTTGACTGTCTGGAACTTTCATGTGATATGCTTGAATTATTATTTATTACCATTTAAATTTCCCAATTCTTTTGTCACTTTTGCAGATTCTTATGCTGGAAGGTGCAAAAGCAGCCTCAGAGACTCTTGATGCCTTAAAGATAGGAGCACTATCAATGCAATCAATACAAAGAGGAATGTAAGTGGATCCTTATGATTTTAGGAGAGTGAATATAGTACTAGTGATATACTCTACAAGGGCTATTACAGTGATACTAGGACAAATCGGTTATCACTACAACATTATACTAACACAAATTTGATTATCTGAAATTGTATATTGAAACTTGAAGCAGGATACTTCTTCACCTGCCATGTGGTTGACTTGTAGTCTTGTAGCATATGTATTCATATTTTCAGAATACAAAATTTCATGTTATCTTCTCTTAGTTTCAGTTAGCATTTGTTAATCGCTAGAGTTACTCGGGCCCAGCGGGGTACCAAGCCTGAAATCTCCCCAAACTCTGGGGTTCTATAATTAATAATATTTTATTCATAAATCATTTAATCTTTTGATCATATCAGTTATAATTGACTTATATTTCGTTTTGTTTATAGTTTTTTAGGTTTTATGGTTTTTTGTGGTTTTCCTACTTATTTATTTTTTGAAAAAAATATATTTTATAGCCTTTTTATGTTGTTTATCATTTTTCCTTTTATTTCAATATTTCATATTTCTTATTGGATTTTTAGGTCATTAAGCTGCCAAGTATGGACTTGGGCGAGTCGAATGGACTTGCCCAAGTGATTTGGCTGTTCCGGGGCCGAGTTCAACACCGAGTACTCACTGGTTTTAGATATTGATTTTGAGGAACATTAAACTCATCATTTTCCCATTATTATCATTGGTATGTCTCAAAATTGTCCATTGTGGTACAAATCCCTCTTTCTATATATAAAGGACTTTGGGGTCATTTCTTCAACATGAATCAAGAATATGTAGAACATTTGTATCACTTAAGCTATCTCTGTTCATGGAGTGCTCCAGTCTTTTCTATAAAGTAATATTTGGTTATTAATCTCTATTTCTTTTATTTTTCTTTTTCTTTTTGATGAACTGGTTATTAATCCCTCTGTCATGCTTATTAGTTCTTATGTCTCAAAGTTGTCCATTGTGGCCTACATCCTCATTTGAATCATGCAATACAAATCCCTCTCTCTATATATAAAGGACTTTGGGGTCATTTCATCAACATGAATCAAGAATAAGTATAACATTTGTATCATTTAAGCTATCTCTGTTCATGGAGTGCTCCAGTCTTTTCTATAAAGTAATATTTGTTTATTAATCTCTATTTCTTTTTCTTTTTTGATGAACTGGTTATTAATCCCTCTGTCATGTGTATGCATATGTAGATACATATACGTGACCACTTCTGAATTTACATTTTTTGGCATGGCTCTAAAGAAAAGATTGTATTTTTTGCATCTGAGTTCAGATCATGCTGGTTTTACATGGTGTATATGTGTTTACAGGAACATTGATGGTGTCAAAGAGACAATGGATAGGATCAGTGAGCAGATAGAGGACATGAGAGATATTCAAGAAGCTGTATCTGTTCCTGTTGGTCTGGCTAAGGGCTTTGATGATGTATATGGTGCCTCTTACCCTTCTCTCTCTCTCTCTCTCTCTCTCTCTCTCTTCAATGAACCCACCACATCCTGTTCCCAGTTATTGTAGGAGCCTGGAATGGATCTTGCTTGGAATGTTTTTGAAAGGCTCCATTTTAATTAAATTTAGGCTATCTTCAGTAAAACATTTACTTTAACTCAGTTGTTATTTTTAAAATTTCTTTTAATTTAAACTGGTGTTATGTTTTCAGTTTTCAACATTCTTCATTTCTTGTTGCCATCAAAATTATTATCCTGCTGGTACTAATGTTATCATCATTACTGATCATTGAATCCATTTTTGCCAATATTTTTATTAAACTATCCTTTAATAAAAAATTCAAACCATCTACCATTGCCTATCATTGTCATCTTTATCAGTTCCTCAGTTTAATTAATTTGTTGTATTAGGATGATCTTGACAAAGAGTTAGAACAGTTAGAGCGAACTGCAATGGAGGAAGAGCTTGTTCAACTGACAATGGGTACCTCAGTGCTTCACGAAAAGAAAATTTTCCTAGAGAAAGTATCGAATCATGATGAAGAGCTCTACGCTTCACAAGAAGAGATGCCCCTCCAGTTGGCCATGTAATTCTTCATAAGTTACTTTTATTGTTTAACTGCTAATTGATTTTTAAGTATAATGTGTATATGAAAAATGTATATATGAACAATCTCATAATTTCAAATTTTATATTGTTTATTCTCTTTCTCATGCAATGGTTTGAATTCATATAGGAGTTTTCTCTTCCTTTTTTTACTTCTTTTCTCATGATCTGTTTCATCTTTTCCACAACTTTGTTCTATTGCATGCATGAGGGATAAATTCACTATCTTGCCACTTCTCAGAGGCATTTGGTAAAATTCTTTCCTCCATTTTCTAATGTTTTGAATGGAAACCACCTGCAGTTGGAGCATGAAGGACTCCAAATAATCACCAATAAATTTTGACACAGATCTCTAGAAAAGTTATCAATAAAACCATTCACCCAAATCCCATACCTATGTTATAATTTTTTTAGAAATGTGTGCCAAAATTTAATGGTGATCATTTGGAGTCCTACTCACATGGGTGTCGAAAGGTCTCATTGTATCATTACTCTATATTTAAATCTTATGTTATATATATAATTTAAATATTATAATTAAAATATATAGTTTTATTTAAGAGTAATGATCTTATGAGACCCTCTCACACCCATGTGTGTAGGAACCCAAATGATCACTATTAAATTTGGCAATGATCTCTAAAAAAGTCAAGTCTCACACTCTTGTGATAGCTTTTCTAGATATTCGTGCCAACTTTAATGGTAATCCTTTAAGGTCCTGTACACATGGGTGGGGGAGGGTCCTATAAGATCATTACTCTATTTTAATACATAATATTTTAATACTATTTAATTAAAAAGGGAGCAGATTTGTCCATTGTTGAGAGAGAGAGAGGAGAGAAGAGAAAGCTTAGAGTTTCTCAAAGCCATTTCTTAAACAAGCCCATCATGGTAATGTGTATACCGCGACGTTTTACTATTTTTGTAAAAAAAAAAAAATGAAAAAAAAGGTCTATTTATGTAAAAAAAACAAAATAGAAAAGAAAAAAAAAAGTAAAAAAAAAAATTGAAAAAGAAAAAAAAAGAAGAAGAGTGTGGATGAGGTTTATGATATATTAATAAATATCAATTGTGAAAAGGCTTTGACGACGATGATGATGATATTGAAGTATTTCATGAGTGATTTGCTTGCCTTTGGTTTAGAGGTAAAAAAGACATTGACCAATGTTACAGGAGTAATGATACTATGAGATCCTCCCACACCCATGTGAGTAGGACCCCAAAGGATCACCATTAAAATGTGACACATATCTCTAGAAAAGTTATCCCATGGGTGTGGGACTTGGGTGAATAGGTTTATTGATAATTTTTTTGGAGATCTGTGTCAAAATTTAATGGTGATTCTTTGAGGTCTTATTCATATGGGTGTTGGAGGGTCTCATAGTATCATTACTCATTTTACAATACAAATTTAATAGGGGATTGTATACAATGAGACTATTTAGCTTTGATATAAGGTAGTCATAATTCCTTGCAACTATTTGATGTGAAATTTGATAGCTTGGATGTGTCATGAAATTCGAAAAAATTTCTTTTGAAGTTTCAGCTTGGTCAATGAAATAATTGCAACCAGCCAACTTCACATCCAATGGTCAAGATTATTGTGACCAATTTGTAGAAAACGTAAATGGTCTCATTCTATACTTTCCCATTTAATATATACTAAAGGCTGCTTATTCCTTGCTACAAGGATACAATCAACCTTGACGGTTAGATATGAAATCGAGCTATTAGAGAAGTATTATTGATTGGGCTCAAAATCCAAAAGAAAATTTTTTGAGCTTTCCATCACATTCAAGCTGAAGTGTTGGATTTCACGAGAACTGCTGAGCTTACTTGTACCATAAGTGAACGGTCTTATATTGTAAAACCCCCCAATGTGGGTTGTTAGCTGGCTGGTATCACACATTTTATCCCCCATGCTTGAATCCCTTTGAAATGGGATACTTGAGTAAGTGTCTTAAACCATAAAAAAAGATCGACTTCGCATGGCATTTTAAATTATTCCCTTTAAATGCCATGCTTGAATCCCCTTTAAATGTCATGCTTGAATAATTGCCTTAAACCATTGAAAAAGATCGAATTAGCATGGCATTTTAAATTATCCCCTTTAAATGCCATGCTCAAATAAGTGCCTTAAGAAAAAGACCGACTTGGCATTTTAAATAGAAAAATGGCTCTATCAAAATGAGCAAGCCTCACCTCATAACTCATCAAAAATTGCAATTCAAACATTGAATAACTTTTACATCAATCATCTCAGCTTGAACAATATGATTATGAAAAAAAATTAAGATTTCAAGCTTGAAAAATAGTGCATATTGTAACAAATTATTTAGATTGCACATTTTAACCTAAAAATAAGTATTCATAGATCCATAAGATTAGCACCATTTTTTGAGTTTCAAATTTTATTATAGACGTTGGAAATTGATTTTTGAGCCAACATGAAAATTTCCGTTGCCAAAAGTACTTTTTGGATGAGGATTTGATGTGAAGCTTTATTTTGTTTTTATAAAGCCTAGGCCTCACAGAGATTCCATCCTTTATATATAGTCATATATCCTCATGTAATAATATAATTTTTTAAAATTTACCAGTTAGGACATGGTACTATTTTAATAAGCATATTTGAAATCAAATTTTTAATGAATGTTACGCTAGATTTTCTTCCTAACAACCATATTTGATAAATCCAATCAAAGTTTAAATATTTACTTCTTTTGAAAGTTTATGCTGTTAAATACATCCTAAATTTAATTATTTTGTCCTTTGGAGAACTCATTGCCATTAAATTCTTGGAACACAGTTTTTATCCAATGCATTTTATTTTCATATTGCTGAACCTCTCTCTTATGGTGTTCCCATGCATTTTAAATGCCAGTATTTTGTTTTGAAAAAGTATACAATGAGACCATTTACATTTGGTACAAAATGGTCACAATTAATCCTGATCATTGGATGTGAAATTGGGTAGTTGCATTTATTCCATTAACAAAGTTCAAAAAAAATTTAAAAAAAAAGATTCTCGAACTTTATGAAACACCCAAACTATTAGATTTCACATTGAATGGTTGTAAATAACTGCGACTTCTTTATACTAAAGATAAATGATCTCATTGTATACTTTTCTAGGATGGACCAGTTTGAATCAACTATAATATTGTACTTAACCTTATATAGCATACACCAATGCCAATCTGAAAGCAATTTGGGCATCAAGAGTGTAGGGCAATGCGATCAACTAACAAGCTCACAATTTCCAAACATAGATGACATTTCTTACAAAGTTTAAAGGGTGCAGTTTTCCTAGGACTGCAGCTTTATAAAATTTGGCAAAAAACTTAGTCGGAAATTGCAGTTCAGGCACCAGTCGAAAACTACAGTCCAGGCCCCAGAAGCCCTCGTAATGGCTTGCAAAAATTTCCACCCCTACTAGTGGAATTAGAGCTCCAGAAATAGTGCAGGTCTCATAGATATGTGAGAACTTAGAATCTATGGTCTTAAAAACATGATGCAAGCTTTGGCTGTTTTCAAGGCTAGAAATTCATTTTGATTTGTGTCTAATAATTAAAGATGGGGATGATCGATCTGCAAAATTTCCCAAGCCAAATTTTTGTTATTTAAAGTGCTCTCGGTCTATAAAGCTACCGCCCTATGAAGTACTTATTCCAAAGCTTAAAAGATGGCATGGGAAAGTTCAGTTTTAAATGTGTAAAATGAGTGTGTGAGAAAGAGAGAATGTGTGAGTGCACGTGCACGAGTGTGTAATAGTGTGTGTGAGAGAGTAGAGTAGAGAGAGAGAGAGAGAGAGAGACTGTAGTATCAAAGCTGCCAACAAATCCAGGAAAGACTGCAAAATCAACTGCCCCTTTATTACTAAAGTAATGACGACCGCAATTCTTGAAATGAAGATCAAGTACATGACTACAAGGATGACTAAGCTTCTTCTACAAAACAAAAAGAAATAAGTAAACATGATCATAAGTGTATGCTCTCTCTCTCTCTCTCTCTCTCATGGCTACAATCCATCAAACATCTCCCGTATGGCTGCTTCTTTTTTCCATTTCCACAATTTCTATTCCCATGAAATGCATCGTGCAGTCAAATATTAACTGGAAACAAGGGGCAAAAATTGCTCAACATATATAGAGAGGACTTATCTCAGAATCGAATAAAATAAGAGGCCCCTTTCACCTAGGTGCCGATTTGTAATCTTGAGAGACCTGCCATACAAGCTTATCCATGAACTGGCATTTCTTGTCCCACCCCCAACCAGGATTGCTCTGCATCACCATAACCGTGACACTAGAAGTCAATGCTAATGCTCCACCATTATCATGCATAAACAAAGAGCTTTTTAAGCAAAAAAATATTTCAGATATATCTATTCTTATTCTTTTTAAGAGTTAACTGTTCAATTGCTATAAGCGTGGGAGAAAGAAGTACGAGAGATCAAAAAATTGGCTCCCCAAAAACCGGGAGCTCAGTATACAAAAAATAGGCATCCCGAAGGACAGGCGCCCTGTACATCAGCATAAAGGCCACCCCTAATGGGGACCCTGTACAAAAAATACACCAGTCAGGTGGTTAGAATGAAAGTAGATACAAAAAATGCTCCAAGGTAAGAGCTACATCAAAAAGGAGGTTATGTTGTAGTGCTGAGGCGGCATCCTTAGCGACGTCCATATCCCTACAAATGTGTACAATTTCATAACAAATGTGTGTGAGTGACCAGGGGCACAGGGTAGAGCAAGAGACCCCGTGGATTACATTCTTAGAATCTCCCTCGATCACTAACGTAAAGCTCCACTGGGGGTCAAACAATCTGATCCCCTCTAGAAGAGCCAGGGCTTCTGCTGTTATGGAGTTTGAGTGGCCAATATTTTTTGAGGAGGCGAGGATGACACTGTCATGGTCCCTGAAAAGACCCCCAATCCCTGAAGGGCCCGAGTTGCCCAGGGAGCAACCATCAAAGATCAATTTGATTTGTGTCCAGGGTCCAGTGGTCCCCAAAGGGAACCTTGTGGGATGCGAACTTGTCTAGAGAAGTGAATAGCTTCCCAGTCAAAATGCAGCATGGAAGAGCCCCTAGAACCGATTGTGGTTAGTAGCAAGATAACCAGGGACTTCATCTTGGCAAACAGATCAGCCGTCGCGGACCTTTCTCCTTGGAAAATCCTGTCATTACGATCTTTCCAAAAGATCCATAGGGTGGCTGCCACCGAAGCCTTCCACAGAAGGATGCCAGCTTGGGCCAGGGAAGGGCGTGGTGAGAGCTAAAAAGTTGTGGGACAGAACCAACTGAAGAGCCGAAGGAGGGCACCCCAGATTTCATGGGCGAAAGGACACAGAAGGAAAAGATGGGCAATGCCTCTTCATCTTCATAACACATCACGCACCTGTTTGGAATGGGCAGGCCCCTCTTTTGCAGTTGGTCAACTGTGAGGGCCCTCTCGGACAAGGCCAGCCAATTAAAAACTTGGATTTCTGTGGAGCAAAGGAGAACCAGGCATGTGTTACTAAGGCGGTGGGTGATAGGGGGAAGTTAGGTCGCTGAGAGAGTTTTTGGTGGAGGAGACCGAAAATATTCCCGATGGGCTCAGACTCCAAATGATAAGGTCCTGGCCCTGTGATGCAAGGAAACAGTTATGGAGAGCAGAGGCAAGGTTAATGAATTCAATAGTCTCAAGTCGTTTAGGGTCTCCTAAAGGTTGGGTTCCAGATTACAGAGGATCCCGAGGGTCATCTCGTCAACCACCGACACCAATCCGTTCCGAGCCAGGCTGAAAAGGGATGGGTACTGAGCTTTGTGAGAGGTATGACCGAACAACAGGTTGTACCAGAAACATATGCGCCAGCCTTCCCTAGGATGGAAGCAGACGAGGTTTTTGAAAAGGGTATACAAAGAAAAGATAGATTTCCAGACCCCAGAGGATCTGTTGCTGGTCCTGCTATCTGGCACCCAGGAGGACATGTCTAGGCCATATTTTTGCCGTACGACCTGCATCTACAGTTGTTTCCGTTGGGTGGCAAGATGCCATCACCATTTTCCGAGCAGGACTGTATTGTGTTTCCTCAGGTTCCTTATGCCGAGACCTCCAAGACGCTTGGGCTGGCATAGTTTGTCCCAAAAGATGAGATAAAACTTGAGTTAACCTTGTCCGAACCAAAGAATCTGCACATAAGTTGTTCGAGACAAGTGGTCACCACCGAGGGCATGTAGAAAAGTGACATCTGGTACACAGGGATGTTGGCTAGAGTAGCCTTAATAAGGATCAACCTCCCTGCCGGATAGAGAAAACGCCCCTTTCACCCGGCAAGTCTGCAGTCCACCTTCTCAACGATGTGGGACCACAACTGCTTCTTAGGTTTGCCAATACAAAGGGGCAGACCCAAGTAATTTGATGGCAGATATTCCGCCTGACTTCCCCAACTATCTGCAAACATTTGTGTCTCTCGGAGGTCCAAAGCAACACCGATCATTTTTTATTTGGCAAGGTTACTTTGAAACCCGTGGCAAACTCAAAGCATCTAAGTAAAAGGAGAAGATTGTCGAGTTCCAGCTCGGACACTCCATAGAAGACGTGTATCGTCAGCGGTGGGAGATAACTGGGCCCCAGGGCCCACTCTTGAACCCATGCAGCCGCCCTAAGAGAAAAAATCGAGAAATAAATTGGCTGAAAACCTCTGCTATAATGGAAAAAAGGAAGGGGAGAGGGGGTCTCCTTGTCTAAGACCCCTAGATGAGGGGAAAAACCCTTTGGGCGAACCATGGATAAGAATGGAGTAGGGATGGGAATCGCAGCCTTTCATCCAAACCCTCCAACTATCCCCAAAATCCATCCTAGATAGTATCTCATCCAAAATGTCCCAGTCTACATGATCATAGGCTTTCTCCCAATCTAATTTAATGACCAACCCGGGTATTTTAGCTAAGTGCCTGGAGTGATACATTCATGAGCCACTAGTACCCCATCCAGGATTTGACGACCTTTAACAAAAGCTCCTTGGGAGGTAGAGATGACCTAAGAAAGGACCTCCCTTGTAGATGGAGTTGATGACTCATGGGGAGATAGTCGTTAAGTTCCTCTGCTCCTTCAACTTTGGGTACGAAAGTTATGAAGGTAGCGTTCATAGCCCTGTGAATGATGCCCATGGAGTGGAATTCTTTGAAAAGAGCAATGAAGTCATCGTGAAAGGAGTCCCAAAAAGTTTTGAACAGGGACCACAAGAAATCCGTCGAGCCCAGGGGCGCGGTCCGAGGCAAGGCTATTACTGATTGAGAGAATTTCTTCTTCCAAGAAAGGCATTTCCAACTATGAAGCTTGATCAAGGGAGAGGGTGAGAAATGAGAGGTCGGTCGTCTCAGGTCTGCGGTCCGAGGGGGCAGAGAAGAGTTGTTTAAAGAAGTTGATAATGGCATTCTCAACACCGGCAGGCTAATCGAGGACCCTATCTCCGACTTTAAGATGGGTTATGTGCTATCTTTGTGCCTACAATTGGCTATTTTATGAAAGGAGGTGGTATTAAGATCCTCGAGATGTAGCCACTTGACCCTCGACCTTTGGAATAAAAAAATCTCATTTTCTTTTAGTATAAGCTGGTAATTGAACTTCAGTTGGGATCAAAGTTGTTGCTCGGAGTCGGAAAGAGGCCTGGATTCCTCAACAAGGTCGAGGCTATGGATGGACAAGGTTGACAACTAGAGTTTGAATGGAATTTGAAACCCACTCGTCCTTGAACCGATGGAGAGAAGGAGTTCCACCAGGATGGGATGAGGGAGGTGAGAGTGGGTTCCTCTAACCATGCCAGTTCGAAACGAAAGGGTTTGGGACCTCTGGTGGCTGGTTGGATGTCCAGAAGGATGGGGCAATGGTCAAAAGTGGGCTTGGGCAAAGTGAAGGCATGGGAACCAAGGAAAGAGGAGTCCCAATAAAGATTAAATAGAAAACGTTCAATCTTAGAGAGGGAGGGAGTAGAGGAGTGGCTAGAACACGTGAACTGAGCTCCTTGGAGTGGGATGTCCAGTATGTCATTCTGAGAGACAAAATTGAAAAAATCCAACATGGCTTGAGTGATCTGGAGCTGGAGTTCCATTCGAAGGACCAACATGTGATGTTGAAATCACCACCCAAACACCATATAGGGTGGGGGAAAGAGGCCACTACGTTAACTTCATCCTAAGAAATGTTTCTAACAAGTTAGAGATAGCGCCATAGATCATTGTGAATTTCCATCGGAAGTTGTCAGGTACACTAGAGAGCATAACGGTAACCAAAAATGTGGCAATGTGAGAGGAGAAGAGGTCGTGGGCAATGGGATCCCAGATGCCACCAGAGGGCCCCACCATAGGCAGGGCTTCCCACTGGCAGGGTCGGCGACCCCAAACTTGTCTAACTAGTTGTAGAGAGGGAGCAAGAAGCTTGGTTTCTGTAAGGGCTAGGATAGAGGGGTGGTACTTGACACAAAGGCCCCGGACAGCATTTTCTTATTGGGGTGTTCTAGACCCCTCATGTTCCAAGAGATAATCATCATGAGGGGGTTCTGAGTTGGGAGACACTCCTTGAGGAGCGTCTTGGGAGGAGGCTATTGACAAAGAGTTCAACGGCAGTGGAGCCATTCAGGAGAGCCAGAGGGGTCGATTGGTTGTAGTTGATGCTGAAGGTGAGATTGGAGACTTCTCGCTTGCCTTTGACACGTACCCTAAGCCTGCATTGTGCCTCGGCCTTATAGAATGCGTGAACGGGACCTTCAAAACCATCATAGTAAAGTCCCATGATCTTTAGCACTTCTCGAACATTACCTTATGCCGCATCCATATTGTTCACGAAGGATGAGTCCGCTGAAAAGGGGGAGGGTGGGGTAGAGGAGCTAGTTGAGGCCGAGGACTCGGCTTGAGATGTTGGGGGCTCACAAAGGCCAGAAAAAGGGGGAGGGAAGTTAGAAGAATAGGGAGCAGGGCCAGGGGTAGGGGGTTAAGAGGGCGGAGGAAGAGCGGGGTGGGGGGTGTGGTGGTTCGTGAGAAGAAAGAAAGAGAGGCTGAAGAGTATTATGGGGCTCAGAGGGCGAAGAAAGGGAGGATGTAACAAGATCGATGGTAGGTAGGGGGAAAGGAGAGCAACAGGAGGCGAAAGTGGAGGAAGGTCGGGGGATTATAGAAATTAGGGTTGGTCGAGGGAGGGGTAAAGGCAGAATGAGGACTACCATAGGGGAGGGGAATGGTAGACGAGGGTTGGGGGGGTGTGAGGGGCAAGAATGAAGCCATGGGGAACAAGATTGTAGG